TAAGCAGCATGCAGAGTGAGAAGAGAAGAGAGAAGAAGCAGGCTCCCTGAGGAGCAAGGAGCCGGATTCAGGACTTGATCCCAGGACCCTGGGATCATGGCCTGAGCCAAAGGCACCGGCTTAACCAACTGAGCCACCCAGGCATCCCAATCCCAATGGGGCCTCTTTCTTAAGGAGAAAAAATTTCAGGAAATATAGAAAAGTAAATTGGGAAATGGGGAGGACTAAAATTAGGAGGGTAAAAATGCACCATAAAATATATTAATGTATCCGGGTTCCAGCTGTGGTGAGCTGGATCTTCCTGTTTCCATCTGCTTGGCCCAAGCACCAATACAATAGAACCAGGAAATGGGATGAGGGTCAGTCAGGTCACCTTACGTAGAACTTAGTTTCTGAAATTCAGTTTCCTGACTCAATACCTCCTTACTTCATCAGAAAGAAGCTAGTGGTCAGAGTGGAGAAAGAGAGAAGATTTGAGTCAACATTTCTTTGGAGCAAGTTATTACATTTCTGTCAGTACCGTTTCTCCTGAAGGGGATGGAATTTGGGGGTGTGACTTCCCTCATCTCTAGCTAGTAGGGAAGACTTCCAAGGAGGCTAATGGAGAGTCTGAACATGTTTCCTCAAGTTGAGAGACACAAGGACTGGTGCCTGGTTTGTTCCTGGCTTGTTCCCAAGGAAGCTAACCATGTATGTGGCTGGTCCCCAGTTGGATGGACAGTAATTAAAATCAAAAGAAGAAATATTTCATGGGCACGTAGTTATAACTCAGATGGTGTCAGATAGCGCCACCTACAGGGGTAAGAATGTGGGGGTGAATGTAAGATCCCTAGGGGTGAAACATAGAATCACAATGGGCTACCTAGTGAGAGATGCATCTATCCCTGGTCTGGAGAATTCCTCAGCAAAGGAATCTGAAAAATTCCTAAGAAGTTAAAACCCAAGAAAAAGGCAAAAAGAAGAAGAGTAAGGTGTGTGTATGGAGAGGGGGTGAGGGGTTGTTTTCCTGTAAAGACTGACCTTTGAATAAACCTTGAATGGACCCGATACTTAGTTTCTAAATTGAGATTGTTTGCATGTTAACAGGACCCTAAAATTATCAGTTACTTAAGAGTGGACTAAAAAGTCAGAATCTGTACACTTTCCATGTAGGAGTAGAGAAAGATTACTCCACCACATGGAACACAATGGGGCAAAGGGAGACGAGAAAATAAAGAAATGTTTTTTTTAATTGAATTTAATTTTTTTTTAATTTTTGAAGATTTTATTTATTTCTTTGACAGAGACAGAGAGAGAAGGAACACAAGCAGGGGGAGTGGGAGAGGGAGAGGGAGAAGCAGGCTTCCTGCTGAGCAGGGAGCCCCATGGGGGGCTTCATGTGGGGCTCCATCCCAGGACACTGGGATCATGACCTGAGTCGAAGGCAGACGCTTAATGACTGAGCCACCCAGGCATCCCTAAAGAAATGTTTTGATTGCATCTCTGATTGCATCACTATCACTTTTGAAGTGATAGTGGTAGAGGATTTAACAAATAGCCCGCTGAAAATTTAAAAAAAAAAAAAAAAGTCTTGCACCAAATAACGAATAGGGAAAAGTGTAAGCACAGTGAAATAACAGGTCATTTTACACAAAAAAATAAACTGAGTTTCAAAGAGGCAGCTCTGGGGCTATTTCCAGATCTGGAGATTTTAATACCAGAGAACATTTCCTCTGTCACTTCCCCTCTAAGAATATGAAGATTTTCATCAAGCTCTGTCCCCTGCTATGTTTACAGGAGGAGGCTCACATTTGCCATAGTTCTGCAAGATTATTTTTGAATTTGAAAAGCTGGTGAGATGCCTCTGAACAGTGGAAGAGCGCCCGAGGTTGCAATTTTGTTTTATGCATCACGACGTTTTAGGACCACCAGTGCCCTGTTCTTTAAGATGAAAATAATATATCAGGGGGAGCTAAGGGAAAGACGATAAACGGGTCTCCAGTGGCAGATAGTATATGAAGTTGACAGAAGGATCAAGTTCTGTGGTCTATTAATAATTCAGAAGCCCTCTCTCCTCAACCATTCTCCTGATTCTTTTTCCTTCTTTCCGTACTTTCCCCCAATTTCCTATTTCAAATAAATTGCCTCCGCTGACAGGCTGCCCTTAGCTCATCAGAGCCCAATACAATGAATGTCTTTGTTGACAAGGTTCTTGCTAGGGTTTTATTTTTGCCCTTTACAGTTTGGCTTTGAACAGCAAGTGACTACGGAGACAATGTTTTGGTGTTTGTTTGTTTGGCTGCTTTTCTCTTTGGCATATGGTATTAATGCCTTTAAAACTTTTTTCGTTCTCGGGTGGGGGCATTTCAGGGATGAGACATCTCAAAATGCATCTACAAATCAGCCAGTAAGAGATCGCCTGAAGAAAAAGTGTTGTTAGGAAAATGATCACGACAAGAAAACAGTAACAGAGAACAGCTTTAGGGAAAAGCCAGCCCATAAGCTCTTTTTAGGAGTGATTGTATTCTTGCCCCCAGAAATAATTCATCAGTCTCTCACCCTGAATGAAATTAGGTTTCCCGTTTAGCTTCAGTAATGGGCTGTTCCTGGAAAAGCAGAGCTCAGAATCAGTTGGTTAAAAAAAATTATTTGTACTCACAGAAAGAAGAGTTTGGAATGTTTTTTCTAGTGGAGGCATTGGACGGAGAAATCAGGTATATATCTGCCCACAGAGCGGCAAGTTTCCCTTCCCCAATACACACAGACAATATTTTCAATACCATGTGATTGGTTAAATTACAGCCCTATTCTTATTTCCCCCTTCAAGCATAGGTATCGATCAGACTCCAAAATATACGCTGAAGCAAGAACAGTAAGAAAAGCCGTGCCTGAAGAAATATTCTCATTCATTTCTTTGCTATTTGTGTGTGTGTGTGCGTGTGTGTGTGTGTAAGTCCTTTATTTGCATATTTAGTTCACTAAACTGTTACATGCTTCCTCATTTTGAAGCGACATGGTATAGCTTTTGAAGTATCTTGCTAAGGATCGTCTTATCTAGGAGTTCAGTTCATGATATGATCCAGGCGGTGGTGTGTGGGTGAGCCCTCCAGGCTCTACAGCAACCAACTGCCAAGGGGCAGAGCCACGCCACCAAAGACCCGCTGCCAGGTAAGGCCCTTGACACTGAACTTCCAGCCCGGCCCTCTCCCAGGCTGCACTCTGGATGGCCTGTCTTCTCTGCAGACTCACCATGACTAAATCCTACCTCCATCAGATGAGCTCTCTTCCTAATTCCCAGATTTTACAGGCAATGCATTTCAGGGAAGCAAGTTGAAATGAGGCGAACATGGGTTTGAATATAAACTCTACCCTTACTGTTTGGTTTGGGACAAATGATTTATCCTTCCTATAGGGCTCAGTTTCCTTCTCTGTAAGATGTCGCCATCAAGATTCCTAGGGTGTAGGATTGTAGGCATTTAAAGAGATGGCATTACTAAGTGCCTGGCCCAGTGCGTGAGGCAACACATGGTGCTAAATAATCATGAGTTCCTTCCCTTTCCCCTCTCTGTGGACGATACTGCCAGTGTCTACCATTCCCAGCCTGACGTGTTGATACCAGATTTCCTCCTTCCTTCTTCCCTACCTTTAATTAAAGCCAATCACCAAGTTATGGGACATTAGAACTGGCAAGGACCTTAGAAATTATAGGCATCTTATTTATTGATAACACATAGAGATATAGGTCACCAGTTACTCCAGCAATCTGACTCCCATGTCGATTCAATAACAATCATTATTTGGTGATGGACCTCACTGAATGACACTTGACAATCATATTGAACAAAAAAACCCAGTGATGATGTACAAACACAGCATCAGGCTCTCAAGTCAAGCTCTGTTTTCTTAAATGCTATCCCATGTCTCTTTCTGACTCAGAAAAGTTTTTTTTTTTTTTTTTTTTCTGATTTTTCGAATTTGTTCAAACAAGGGGGGGGGGGGAGGAACAGAGGGAGAGGGAGAAGCAGGCTCCCTGCTGAGCAGAGAGCCCCACACAGGGCTTGATCTCAAGACCCCAGGATCATGACCTGAGCCGAAGGCAGACACTTAATCGACTGAGCCACCCAGCCCCGAGATAAGTATTTCTGAGAGAATTTTCCTGTCCCTCGTTGATTTTTTCACTCTTTACTATTCACTAAATTGGGAGAGGCTTTTGTCTTAGAGGTAATTGGAAAAGAAAAGAACGACAGAAGCAAAACAAAGGAAAAAAAAAAGATAATTCCAAATGAAATAATACCAATTTTAAAAGTCTACGAGTTCACTAGTAAATACATCACAGTATTACACATAGCTGGGGATATTTACCATATATTATATATGTTAGAAGACAAGATTCATTTGTACTCTTCTAAGTAGTTTATAGTAAGAACTCTCTAGGGAATCACTCAACTAAGCAGAATAAGAATTAGATATGTTCATATATGTGTTCCTTATAACATAAGTCTTCTTCTTTTCTTATCTCTTGTGAAAACCCATGCATAACCTAAACCTCCTATTTCATACCTTATCCTTCCTCTCCTTCCTCTGTTCTATGTACAAGAGGAAAATATTCAGTTACTCATAGTTAATACAAATTACCCAGTTAATATATTTTGTGTATGAAGACCAAAAAATGTAAATGACCAAAATGTAAATGATGTGTTAGAGTATAAATAATTATTTTTATAAAAGCTTCCGTTTCTTTAATCTTCCTAGCCACTGAATACACATATCATCCAGCTTTCTCTCAGTAATAAAAGTAGAGACAGAAAAGAAAAAAAAAAAAAAAAAAAGACCCTGAATCTAGTGAGAGCCTTATTACACTGAAATGTACTATTTTTCAGGGCAACATGGAAAGTTTCTGAAAGAGCTGACCTTCAAACATTTAACATTTTGCTCCCCAGGTTAGTGCACTGACTAGATTCCATGTGGAGCAAACAAGTGAGGAAAATGGCCGCCCACTATTTAAGGTTCTATTAGGTTACCTCTGAAAAGCGAAGACATGCTGCTCACACAAGAGGAAGATGGCTACGAGGACTCCAAAGCTATAAAGCTTCATCCCAACAGCAATTAGCTGAAAAACAAAATTCTCTGGAGAGAAGGGCCAGGATGACTGGTTACATAAGAGCCTTCTTTACACACTGGTTAAAATATAATGGCATGTTCCCTCTCATTTCTGTGATCAATTGACTCAGCTTCTATTTTCACCCTTAAAAAATAAAGTACGATGAGAGTTGTTCTTACGTTCGACTCTCTAGAAGATATTTAACTCCTCAGGGAAGATTAGATCGAGAATAAAAGTATAGTAATGTTGCAGAAATGTGTCTGTTTTTTTTGAAGAAAAATAGCCCTAGAGTATTGATTCATGGCTGTAACCCATGCTGTGGGAGGTCTCCCGTGGAGTAGAAAGAGGTCTTCCCTTGTCTCTGTCTTTTTCAACTTTTTCAACATTTTCAAATTCAGATGAAGACACAGAAGGTGAGTTTCTCAGCTTTGTGGCTCTTACAAGGCTGAGAAGAAGAGCTTGTATGGAGGATTATAGTATCTCCATTCAAAGAAAATTTTCTTTGTTCATATGAGGTGATGGGCCCACCTATAGGAGAATAGGAATATTATGTCCTAGAGAGTTCTCTGGTCAAAAGAAAAAAAAAATCAGCTTGCTTTGAATCATGTTTATTTAGGAAAGGTCACCATAAGAGCCATTATCTAAATCAAAGCTCATCACATGTCATTCTGAAGGTAGCATCTGACTTACAACATTTTGTCTTGTATGAGGCTACAGCTTACCTCTGTAAGTGGGTGAAGCCCAGGTATTATCTCCAAATTCCCACTGGTCAGTGAATTAGAATGTTCTTGAGGACAGGGCAGGCAAATCTGCAAAATAAAACAAACTTCCCACAACAGGCTTCTGAGAAGGAAAGGATTGAGATTTCAAACTTTTCTCTCTGTGATTTAAAGCTATTAAAACATACTTAATGGATGAAGGTGGCACCACTGAAACTACCTCTTATATAGGAAGGAAGAAGAAAATGGATATACACATGTATCTGACCACTTTTAGAGAAAGATACATGGGAAGACTAGACCAGAAATCCATTAGACTGTGGTTACCTACAGCAGGTAGGTAGAAAAACTGAGTGGAAAAGATGAAGGAATAAGAACAGGGTAGACGAGATGGGAGGAGGGATGCTTTTTTGAGTAAATATTTTTGAATACTTCAGAATTCAAAAATACCACAGAATTTTAGAACCACAGTATTTTTTTCACTTACTCAAAACCAACAAGTAAATAAAATGAATACAAGCAAAAACACATGTTTTTAATGAGTGACATAACTACACTGAGGGGAGTGAGGAAAAACTAACCCAAGAGCTTTTACCTTGTTTTTTTTAAAACACAAAAAGTAACTTTAAAATAACAATCAACAGTGGCAGTTTACTAACAAATTTTATCCATTTTGGTGCTCCCTATTTAGTTTTATCCTGTCTCCTCTCGGGTTTACATTTCTTCTTGCTGAAGCAGTCTTTGAAAAGTTGCTTTAGTGAAGATCTGTTGGTGGTAGATTCTCTTGCGCTCCATCTGTTGGACCAGAATTTCATTCTGCCCTCACTTCCAAAGACTAGTTTAGCCAAATGTGACCTTCTAGTGATAGTTCTTCCGTTGTCTTTTGGCATCTACTGCGGTAAGGTAGGAATCTGCTGTCATGTCTTGTTCCCCTACAGATCAGCTGTTCTTCCTAATAGATGACTTTTAAGGGATTAAGGATTATCTTTATCTTTAATCCTCTTCAGCTCCATTACTCTTGTCGAGATGTGAATTTATTTTTTATTATCTAGCTCGGTACAGGGAATGTGATTTTGATCCGAGGATTTAGATATTTCTTCAACCTGGGAAAACCATTTTATTATTTCTTCAGCTATTATCTGCTAGTGCTTTTTAGGGGCTCCCTTTGGAGTTCCTTGATCTACCTTCCATGTCTTGTAACTGTCTTTTCATGTTTTTAAAAATCATAGTCTGTGTCTCTGTATGCTGAATCCTGGGCAAGAATTTCTCAGGACCATCTTCAAATTCACAAATTCATTCTTTGTGTTTAGTTTAGACTACATAGTCAACTGACCAGTGGGTTTTTTTTTTAATCCATCAAAAAATTTTATTGGAGAAATTGTGACTGAGAAATAGTAAGATGCCTTGGAATTGAACACAAGCATCTAAAATAAGAGCAGAGTTCAGGATGTCTTGTAATTGTGTGTTTTTTTTAAAATAACTTTACAAATCTTTTCCAACTTTTACAGTTGCTTTTTTCACATTTATCCATTTTTATCTTTTAAAAGATTTTATTTATTAGCAAGAGGAAGAGAATGAAATCATACGTTCAGGGAGGAGCAGAGAGAGAGGGAGAAGGAGAAGAAGACTCCCCACTGAGTGCAGAGCCTGTTGGGGAGCTCAATCCCAGGACCTGAGCCAAAGTCAGCTGCTTAACCCACTGAACCACCCAGACACCCCCATTCTGCTTTTGTATCAGTATTTTTAAATATCATTTTAAAGCATTTTGTTGTTTAATTTTTAATAGGTATGGTTCCTTCCGAGCTCTTGCTGACAATACTTAGGATACTTCTTATAAAGTCTGTGTTAGACTTGAGCTAAAGGATTAGTTGTATTTGAGATGAATTCATGCTCTGAGTATTGATTTTGTTGACTGCCTCTCTTAGCATTTGATTTCTTCTGTAATTTGGAACCTTAGTTTGCAGGCTCATTTTGAAGTCTTTTGTTTTCCTTTCCTGCCTTTCACCTTCTATGCTTACTTTTCTCCATTCTCCACAAGCGTCCAAGCAGCCCCTGGGTTTCCAATCCAGAACACTGTCTTAAACTAGCTTTTGTTTTTTCTACACCATGATAATGTCATGGCTTTCAAAGATCTAGTCACCAGTAAAGATGACTTAACTTAGTTACCGGCTTAGTCACTCCTAGCTTAGTTACTCCTCTGTCTCCTACAAACCAGTAGATGCTTATAAACCAGTCCTAAGCAGCAGTGGCACTATCTTTTTAAAACCGAGGTACATATATTAAAATGCACAGATTTAAGTGTTTGAGTAAATTAGTCTTGAAAAACACATATACTTGAGTAACCCACACCTCTCTCGAGTATAGAAGATTTCCATCATTCCAGAAAAGTTCTTTCATATCCCTCCCAATCATTTTCCCCTTTATTCTAGCAGCCTCTGTTCTGATTTTATCACCATAGATTAATTTTACTTATTTTAGAACTACATGAAATCATATATTGTCCTAGTCAGTTCAGGCTGTTACAGCCAGAATACCATAGACTAAATAGCTTAAACAACAAACATTTATATCTTACAGTTCTGGAAAGTGGAAAGTCCAAGATCAGGGCACAGATTCAGTGTCTGGTGAGAATCCACACCCTTGTTCATAGATGGCTGCCTTCTTGCCATATTCCCACATGGCAGAAAGTGAGAAAGCTCATGGCAGAAAGTGAGAGAGCTCGATGGGTCTATTTTATAAGGGCACTAATCCCATTCATGAGAGATCCACCATTACGATCTAATCACCTCCCAGAAGCTCCATATAAACACTGGCATACTGGGGATTAAGCTTCAACATATGTGTGAGGGATGGGGAGGACATAAACATCTAGTCTATGGCTTAGAGCACGTACTCCTTTGTGTCATGTTTATTTTGCTCAGCATTTTTTTTTTTTTAAGATTTTATTTATTTATTTGTTTGAGAGAGAGCGTGAGCATAAGCACTGGCAGGGGTGGGTGGGGGTAGGGACAAAGGAAGAGGGAGAAGAAGGCTCCCTGCTGAGCAGGGGCGGGATATGGGGCTCCATCCCAAGACCCTGAGATCATGACCTGAGCTGAAGGCAGACACTTAACTGACTGGGCCACCCAGATGTCCCTAATTTACACTTCTATGATGACTAATGATGTTGAGAACATTTTCTTTGCTTCTTGGCTGTGCGCATGTACGTGTGTGTGTTTGTGTGTGTGTGTGTTCAGATCGTTTGCTTGATTTTTAGTCATACTGTTTGACATTCTAGACATTAGTCTTTGTTGGATAGAAATATTATTAATATATCTTCCTCTGGGAAGTATCTGTTAGAGTCTTTTGACCATTTTGGAAAATTCAGTTGTTCCTTTTTTTGTCATAACTTTTTATCCTAACTTGTATGACTTCTTTATATACTCTGGATATAGCTACTTGGTCAGATATATGTTTTGTGAATGTTGTTTGCCCTTTGGTGGATCACTGTCTTCTTATTGGTGTCTTTTGAAGAGCAGACATTTTTAATTTTGGTTCAGTCCAATTTATCAATTTGCTTTGGTGATTGGTACTTCTGTGTCTTGTTCAAGAAATTTTGACTAATTCAAAGTCCTCAAACTGTTTTTGAAACTTTATAGTTTTGGTCTTTACTTTCAGGCTTAGAATCCACCTCAAATTAATTTTTGTGTGTGGTATGAGGCAGGAATTGAGGTTCTTTAGTTCTTATGGCATCCAGTTTTTCTCACACCACTTCCTAAAGACTTTCTTTTCCCTGTGGAATCACTTTGTCAGTTTTTCTTTTTTTTACATAAAGTCAGTTGATTGTGGAAGTGTGAACCTAAACCATTAAGTTCACAGTATTTTTTTTAAACAGCAAAAATAACTAGAAAAGTTCTGTGTTTTCTTTCTTAGCTATTCTTTTTCTCTTTGTGCTTTGGCTGTTATACTTTCTAGTTCACTTCTTCATTTCCCTGCTATTGAAGTTTGCTGATAAGTCCATTGAAATAATTCTTCATTTCCATATCATGTTTTTCATATCTGACACTTGTATTCAGATTTTTTTTTGAATTTTCTTTTCACTGCTGCTCATGCACAGCAATTTCTGTATCTTTTTTTTTTTTTTTAAAACCATTTCCTCTCTTAAAGTTAGGTCACATGCTCTTGCTTTTTCACTTACAGTTTTTTTTAAATTGAATCTGAGATATTATGTATAAAATGATAGTATGGACTAAAAGTAAATAGTATTTATGCTCAGAATGGTCATATATCTTCCTTGTCAGGCCACTAGTGTAAAAGATTGAGCCAATCTAGGCTGCAGTGGACCGGGTTTAGGCTTTGCTGTTATTCTCATTAGATGTTATTATCACAGTCTCAAAGTACTTAAAAACAGGAGCAGGTCCTT